ATAAAAATGTAACCCTTGTACCACAGAGTTTCTAAAAACCTGTAACAATGCAAATACAAAACACATTACTCATGAAATGGGCAAACTATTTAAAAAAAGTGAAAACGTAAGTGGAACATAAATTACCTGTGTCGCAAGTCGAACGCGCATTTTCGAAGTGCTGTCTAACACAACGTGCCGTTGTGTTAACTTTGGACAGGCCCTCGCATTCCCAGCATGTTGGATGTCAAGGTTGAATAGAGCTGCAATGTAATCCCAACATATGTAATTGTTGGACAATTTAACCTGCAGAATTGAACACATAAACATTAATTTCATTGCGATCAGGTAAGTTACACTCTCGCGTTACTTTCTCAAAATTTTTTTTCTTTTTAGTTCGGGTTTCCAGGGAAACGTTAGTCAAGCAAGTTTTTCTTTCAAGTAACGAAGGCATTATGAGGGTAAGTAACAATGAGAAAATGCGCCATACTCTCGCGTGATTCTCTTAATATTTCTTAATCTTTTTTCAGGTCAATTTCCCAGAGATACGTTAGTCAGATAAGTTCTTCCTTCAAGTAATGAAGGCGTCATAACGGTAGGTAATAAAAAAAAATGAGTTATGCTTTTGCGTGGCTTTCTTAACATTTCATTATCTTTTTTTTTTTTAGATTGGGTATTCAAGAACACGTCATTCAGGTAAGTTTTTAAAAATTTGTTAAGTTTCATTGTTTACGGTTCAAAATACTTTCAAAGCAATCATAAGCTTCTAAAAACTTACCCGCAATTTTTTCTTGTTATACAACCTGTTCCGAACATTTTTAATGACATGGGGCGCATCAGAGAAGACGAAAACTTTTCGGTCGTCATCTACAGGATGCGTGAACCACGTTTTTGTATCCTCCATCGAACCTGAGACACCTAATAGGGACCACATCTTTGCGTTCGTCGATGCGCCGTCGGCGATGACTCCGTGAATTTTCGCTCCGGTCCTTTCCAGGTACACAATAGCTTTAATAACTAGCTTCGCAAGCTCATCACTCTTTACAGGATTTTTTGAAGCAAACACTGCGTTTGGTTGTGTATGAATCAGCAAGAGGCTGAAACATGAGAACGAGACCATGTGTTGCTTGATCTTCAAGTTAGTCGATTGCGGCCCATCGTTACCGAAGTCAGTTAATCCAACATAGGTTAAGTTTTTTGAACACACGGCCACTGACTTCCTCAAGTTAATTTCATCGAGGAGAAGTACACCATGTCGCTGCAAAATAGTTTTCGTCTCAAAATGTTTTGCGAGCAATTTCGCAAACTCTTCGTCAAAACCGCATTTCATGTCGACAAGTGAGAAATAACTGCGGATCGTTCGATGACAGGGCAGTGGTAAAACGTTATTCTTACGGAGGAACTCGTAGTAACCTGGTGATCTTATGTTCATCAGTAGACATAGCATAATCCACTCCTCCTCATAGCGCCGACTCTTGTCGTTTGCTTCCCTGCAGCCGCGATTATTTCTCGGAGTACAGTTTGTTGACTTGTTGGTACATTTAATTTCGAGCATTTGTCGACCAACGTTTCGCCACAAATCGAAGCAATTTCGGTTGCTTTATTTTGCAAGGATTCTTGTAATAATTGTATGCGTTTCTGGGCTGTCTTCTTCTGCCGTCTTTCACGGAAACATTTTTTGCGCAGCGCGATTAACTTCCTTTGATCTATCGGATTGGAAACTCGACATACACGTTTTAACGATACTTTCGTTTTTGATCTCGCTTCTTTCATGTGCACTACGTTTCTCATGTTCCTGCAGTGGTCACATCTCTTCCGTTTTGAGATCAATGTACAGTTTTTGGAACGCCATCGATCGACATAATCTTTAAACGCACTATCCGCCGACAGATGATGAACGTTGATGGTGCCGAGACCGTTGCACACATTTATATTTTGAAACTTTTTCAAAGCTTGCGGTAGCGACGCAATGTCCTCCAAGATTTGAGGGAGTTTACATCCGTGTACCTTAACGACACTTCCATACACGAAGTAGCGAAGTTCTTTGTTGGCGCAAAGCTGTATACTTTTTTCTACAACCGGGAATTTATCGTCGTTTTCCATCTTCGTTATAGCGTATGTGAACAGAAAACTGCCGATATCGGTGCTTAGTTCACCGACAGTCCACGGCCATGGTATCGAGGTAGAGTCCGTAATTTTTCCAGGAGTACCTATG